CCTGCGGGGAGAGCGGCTTCTCGGAGGGCGGGCGCCGAACCGGCCCAGGAGCGGGAGCAGGGCGACCCCCGCTAGGACGGGCCAAGGGGTCCGCGTAGGGACGCCCGGGGGCGCCGCCGAGGGGCGCGGGCCGCGCCGCGCATGGTGAGCGGCAGGGCACCCGGCCGCTCTCCAGCCTCCGGCAGGAAAACAAACAAAAGGCAGGGAGGGCTTCTGGTGGGGACGACCGGCCTCTTTCCCGGGGAAAAGTTACCCTGCAGCTCCCCTCGCAGGCCCCGCGCGTCCCTGCACCGCGGCCGGGCCGCCGGGGGGCGCCGAGCCGCGCGCTCCGCTCTCCACCCGGGGCCTGCTGGAGCCCAGGGTCCCTGAGGCCCCAGCCGACTGCCAGCGGGCCCTCCAGCTCCACACGCTCGTCTTACTGCAGATCGGCTGCCTCGGGCATCAGGATGGAGAAGTGCAGGCTGAGGATGCACGTTCGGAGGACATCTCATTACAGGTGATCGAGGTGAACACACTTTCCTGGCTTTAAAAAACGTAACTGCAGTGCCACCGAAAGTGGTTGAAGATGGCAAATCGCGTCATATCTATTTTACCATAATAAAAAATATTTAAAATAAAAACCAGACTGCCTGTTAGCATCCATTTGAACTTCAAGAGTTTCTATATTGTGAGCAACTTTAGTTTGGAAGACTGGATTGTTAGGTGGGGAACAGACTGGATAATGGTCTACAGAATCGTCCTCTGCGTGTTGACTAGTCCTACGAAGTCTAACACTTAACACTTTTTAAACACTGTCACTTGTGTCGTTAGTTATATTGCGGAGGTAAATCATCCTATAAGGATTGGCCCTGAACCACTTTGAAAAAAAGAAATTGCTTCGAGGTCCTCGATTTAAATTCACATAACTGCCCCAAGCCGAGGGTGCTTTAGTTGGAGGCATCAGAATCGCTGGGATAGCTTGTGAAAACAGATTGCTGGGCCCTCTCCCCAGAATTTTGGTACTGATGCTACTGGTCAGGGAAACCACACTGCCCTAAGCAACAGTTTTAATTAATAAAACAGTAATCCTTTCACACATTGTGGATCTTTCTCTGAGTTTAAATTCCCCAGCTCATATCAATTTTCTCTCACTATCTTTGTTTTTGAATTCTAAGAACCGAAAAGATTGTTTTTTCTAAGAAGAATCTATGCAAAAGGCCTGAATCCCTCTTTCTTCTTGCTTCTGTTGAAGAAACCTACAAGATACAAGACAAACTTCCTTAGACTTCCTGTCTCAATTGGGAAAGGGTCATCTGGCCACTTGGCAAACGTATAACATTTATCTACCTTCATGTTTACCTGTATAACACCCAAACCATATGGCAGATGAAAATTGAACGTCATTGTCAATGAAAAGATAGGGAGACAGGAGGCAGCCTGACAAATCATATACTACTCCCAGAAAAAGTGATTTTTAAAGTATTTACAATGATCAGTTTTAGTCAAATTCAGTTGTCCAAGCAACTGGCAAATGCACTGTCTTGATCTACCTTTAACAAGGGTCCACTGGGCTAGTAAGCGGCTTAGGTCAGTAGTCCTAGCCTCGGGAAAATTATAACCACGTATTATATAATATGATGAGATAATAAAACACTGTAAAGAAGCCTAGTGGATACAGTGGATACTGACCTAAAATTGAAAATTAGTAGCTATGAAACATAACAGCGTTTTAATAAAATAGGTGCTCAATTTATTGTTAAAAATACGAATTATTATTTTATTAAACTTTTTTGTTTATTTACTAGAATAATAGAAATCATCTGTGCTAACTGACTAAGCATTCAACAAGTTTAATGAAATAGACTCGTTCTGAAAATATTTCAATACCCCATTCCTCATTTGCAAAACTGATCTTTTGTATTCATGAGTCACATATAACATTTTCTTCTATTATAAATCCATACATCTAATCTTTCTCCCGATTTAAATTTCAAAATACAATTTAAAAGAGGTCATTGGGAGGAAAATCATCCTTAACAGACCTAAGCCCTAGTCTCTTTTAAAAACTGAAAACTAGTAAATTTTTAGTCCCCGTTAAACAAGAATGTACTTTTTATAGGTAGCTAACTTGGGATGCAAATGAAAAACCCATCGGAAGGGCGGATTCTAATATTAAAAGACAGCAGTTGGGGCTTCCTTATTGTAGCTCACCATTCTGCACCCCTCCCATTTTTTTCTTTTTTTTTTTTTTGCCTCTATTTTCTGAAGAAGAATGTACTGCATTACTAAGATCTAAATAAATACAATAAAAGAAAATAAGGGATAGGAGATTTAAACTCTTGTGAACTCGTGAGAACCACGAGTAGGATCTTGGAAACCTGATGACTCTTAGTACCCCACACCTAATAGAAACTTTAGAAACTACATAAATGTTTGCTGAATGAAGGTAAGAAGCCCCAAGACTAGGTTTACACAGAGCAGAGAGCATGCAAAATTCAGTATTTAAAACAATGTAAAGTGTGGGAAAATAATACACTGCCTGACAAACGAGTGCCTTCTGCGGAAATGAAATCAGGTGTTTGGGCTGTAAGAAGCGGGGTCCGGAAGGCAGGTGAGGGCTGGTGCTCTACGCGGAACGGCGGACTACAAATCCCAGGGTTCCGCGGGAGCCGTCTCTGCAGGACTCGGGGTTCGGAGCCGTAGAGCCTCAACGTCCTCCCGCGTTGCATGATGGGATCTGTAGTGAGACGGGCGTTGGGGGGGGGCTGTTTTCTCTCCTACCGCTACTCTCCCGAGCGCCTCTTTTTCTCAACCTCCAGGACCGTGTCTTTAAAAAGTTTAGTCGTTATAACAGCCTGTGACGATAGTGGAATTTAACTGTCTCCCTGCAATCCCGGAGTGGGACTCTAACCACAGTCGCCGAGGATCGTGTAGTGACCGTCCCGGGCACCCAATTCGATGCCTTCGGGCCGCTTGCCTTAGGGTCTCAACTCTAAATTTGAGTTAAGTCCTGTTCCAGTTTGCGTAAGTTCACTGAGCCGAATACTAGGCTGAGTTTGGCCTTCGGCACCCCGGGCTGACCTCACCCGGGCCGTCCCTCGCGCACACAGAAAGCGTACGCCCCTAGCCCTCCACAGGGAAGTGCGCGGGCAGCGGAGCAGGGCGGCCCACGCGGGCGGCGGCGGGTCAGCACTGCGCATGCTCGCTGCGCCGGCGCAGGTTTCCGCGGCAGGGGTGCATCTGCGCTGCGGCGTCCGGGGTCTCCAGCAGGGTCGAGGCTCCGGTGCGCGCACAGTCCTCGGCTTCGGCGGGCCCCAGGCGTCCCTGCGCTCCGCGAGTCCCCGGCCGCCGCCCCAGCGCGCCGCGATCTGGCCCTCTGCCCTGCGAAAATGGCTGCCGTACGCCGGGCCCGCAGTTACTGCCGCTGCCTGGTGCGCTTCTCCGACCGAGAACTCTGCTAAGTCCCGCTGCACCAGACGGCAGGAGTAGACACCGGACTCCCGGGGCACCTCCTCGCGGGGGCGGTGCCGAGGGGGCGCCGAGAGCCCCTCGGCCGCGGCCGGCTGGCCAGCCAGCATGGTAAAGCGCCGAGGAGCTCGGGCGGGTGGCGGGCGGGACGGCCCGGGCCTGCGGGGATCCCCGGGGGACGTGGAGAGGGTGAACCTGCGAGGGTTGGGGGCTGCACGGCTACCACCATCCTGGGGCCCTGGCCTGAGGGTGGCGGACAGTGTTAGCCCTGCCCGCTCCCCGGGGTTCCTTCTTGCCGAGCCCCCCAGCTGGGTCTCCAGGTGAGCAGAGCGGGTTTGCTGGACGGCGGAGAATAATGCCTCTTGGCCTGCTGAGGGCATTGAACAAATCTCGTCTCTTTAATAAAAGCGAGCGTAGATTGAGATGAGCCGTCGCAACATCTGAAAGCGGGAGGGAGCCTTGGCAAGTGGAGACACTTGTTGATAGCCGCCCCCCCACCAAAGAAAAAGCCTGCCCATGGAGCCGCCGTTCTGACCCCTTAAGTAGTCCTGGGTTTAGCAGGCACCTGCCCCAGGACGCGGCAGTTCCTGGGGCAGGGTTTTGGCTGGCGGTCCTGGCGGCTTGGGGTTGGAGGGATTTTGTCCCATTTCACGGCAGTGAGGGCCCGAGCAGCGTCGGTGCGGTCCAAATGGAGGATCTGAGCAAAGCTCCAGATATTGACAAAGCAGATTCCATGGGGCTATTGCGTGTTGGCATACGTAGTCTCTGCCCCATGCTGCTTTGCTTTGGCTTCAAATAAATTGTTCCAAGAAACTAATCTCTGGCTAAAGTTGAGTGATTCAAGAGTGTAATGATACCAAACTCATTAGCTTATAGTAGACACCCAAGTGTTTATTGAATACACGAATGGTTGAATGAACTTATTTTATGAAGTCAATTTGGTGAATAGAAAAACACTAATTGACTATGCTTTTAAACTTTCAGAAATAGTTCTCTGACCAGGATTAAGCACTTAACTTTCTGTATTTCATTAGTCCCATGTGTAAAACAGTAAAAGGATGAACACATGAGCTACTCTAGTGAAAGGTGATGTTAGGTCAAACTCAGTTATGAAAAACAAAGTGAAGATTTCTGGACGACAGCCAAAGACCTACTTATTTCAAGTGGTATTTGAGTTGAAGAGCATATGGTAAAACCCCAAATTCAATGGTTCTTGTTATTGTCACCATACTGTCAAAATCAAAGTCTTAGTGGATGAGAGCTCTATTAACACAGCCCAGGGGAGAAGATGCTGTCTGTATTATAGGCTTCCTGTCTCCTTACCTCATCCTTGAGATACGCATTATATATACTCATGGCATTTTATTTGTTAATTCATTTTTTGGAGCACTTATTATCAGCCTGGCATAGTGCCAGACCTCAGATCTTGATGCCAATACACTAATTTCTAGCGAAAGAGATGAAATCTCAATACAAGTCTTAAGTGCTGTGATACCAGCACAAGTGTAATGGGAAAACCAAAGTGGCAAGTGAAAGGATCAGAATTTGTTTCCTACTGGGATAATCCCTGAGCTGAATCTCGAAGGATGAGTAGCAAGTAGCCAAGTGGAAGAGGATGCAGCATTCCAGATGCAGAGAGCAAAGCAGCGTGTGCCAAAGCGCGGGGCTGGAGAGAGCAGGGGGAACTCTTGAAGTCAGTTTGGTGGGGCTGCTGGGCTAGAGGTAGAGGCTGAATTACTGAGATACCTCAGGGACCAAGGTCCCCTTCCATTAGCTGTCCTTAGAGTTTATAGTAATAAAGGAGACCCTTATTTGAGAAGAGAGAGAAATACACTTGTTAGATCTATAAAGTCAAACCCTTTTATTGTGTAATTTCCCATTACTGATGATCTGAGTAGGAAAAGCTCTCAGCTTAAAGAGACTTAAAAAAATGTATTTGACAGTGCGTTAATGCTCACATTTTCCAGTTTTCTGGAAATTCATCTGAGGCTCAGCCTTTCTCTTTTATTTCTTCACTGATTTAGCCTTTCCTGGGTGCCAAGCACTTTACCACGTACTAACTAGTTCACATCTCACAGGCACCTCTGTTGTAAGTCTGGTTGCCAGAGATAAGATAGGGAGCCAGCCTTGTTTGTGTTGTGCTATGAGGTAGTGCAAGTATATCTGGTTGCTGTGTTCAAAGATAGGTGTTAATACAGACATTTTAGTCCTGGGAACAAGTAACAACCCAAATTGGCAATTGTAAAACTTACCGTGTTTAGAATGAGTGAAGTTAAATAGGTTTTATTATTTTTATTTCTAACCTTCAAAGTCACTTCCCTGATTGCCACATTTGTTTATAGGACTGAATACTTGAAGTGTTGAGCAGGTCTTATTTGCTAATAAGTGTGTTAGGTAATAGACCGCACCTAGGCAACATTTCATTTTCACTGGAACATAGGATCCAGTTTTATTTAGCAAACATTTATGGAGAATAAAAGGATAAAATGGAAGGAAACTGACCTGAGGCTTCTATTAAGTCCCAAGCCGTGCACAGTAGTTCCAGCCCAGCTTTATTCCACTTTAAGTCAATCCAATATATGCAAATCTGGATTTATAAAAAAAAAAAAATGGAAGGAGCTTCTTTACAAAAACCTTCACTCTTACATGTCTTTGATTTGAATGAGCTTTTCTAGTACATTTAAAATATTATTAGACTAAGGTCATTCACACATTAATAACATTCCAGTTTGTGTAAAGAAGGGATAACCATATATGGGCTATATATGGTCTTAAGAGATCCATGAAACAAAAACTATTTGAACTCTATACCACCAACTTATTTTCTGAAGCAAAGTTGTTCTTTTTAACCACCTACCAAAACATTTTAAGCTGGAGCCCAGTGAAGTTGTTTATTCTACAGTATTAAAAAATTAAAGTATCAGACTTTTCTGACTGGAATCACTTAACTTACCTGTGAAGAAGATATTTAGAGAGAGGCAGCTATGTGTTTCACTGGGCAGGTAGCTGAATAGGAGATGTAGGTTACCGAGGGAAACCAGTGTTTGCTTATTCCTGAGCATTGTTTGCTTTCCCCTACTCAGGCAGAAGCTGAGGAAGATTGTCATTCCGACGCTGTCAGGGCAGGAGATGATGGTGAGAACGAACGCCCTGCTGAGACAGATTTGCAGGCATGTTTCTTCATTTGTGCATTTAGTTCTTATTCTGTTGCTTTCCGTACATAAGCAGGAGTTGGTCATAATTATGAAGATTCATAGGTTCTTATTTGCATTGAATGTAGCTGTATCTTCATACCGGTTTTTAGAATACTTAAGTTATAACTATGTTATAGATTTCTTTTTCTGTAAAAAGGAATATCAATAATTGCTGCTGTATAATTCAATATGTGGGTTTAAAGTGTTCAAACCAAGGCATAAGCATGACTAAAACCCATCACCTTAAAGAAAAAGATTGACAGATTTGACCACCTAAAAGTTTAAAACCCATATATAGCAAAAGACCTCCTAAATCAAGAGAAATAATTAACTGGAAAAACTATTTACCATCTAGGGGAAGAGGATTAATATCTCTGATACAGATGTAACATCCTTATAAAAGTAGTAACAACATAGGATAGAAAGATAGGAATGGATAACTAATGGAAAAAATTAATATAAATATTTATGAAACATTAGAAGAGATAATCAGCCTCACTAATAATTTTTTAAAAATACAAATTAAGGGCTTCCCTGGTGGCGCAGTGGTTGAGTGTCCACCTGACGATGCAGGGGATGCGGGTTTGTTGTACCCCGGTCCGGGAAGATCCCACATGCCGCGGAGCAGCTGGGCCCGTGAGCCATGGCCACTGAGCCTGCGCGTCCGGAGCCTGTGCTCCGCAACGGGAGAGGCCACAACAGTGAGAGGGCCGTGTACCGCAAAAAAACCCCCAAAAAAACCCAAAAAACCCAAATTAAATCAGCAAAGAATTTTTTTTTAAAAAAAGATCAGATTAGTGAATAATGCCTATTGCTGTCCAGGCTCTGAGAACACTCACGCAGTATACATGAAAGCATAAGTTGCTACAGCTTTTTTGCAGGGAAGATTAGCAATATGGATCAAAATGAAAAACATACATTCCCTTTGAACCAGGAATCCTACTTCTAGGAAATTAATCCTAAGGAAATAATAGTGGAAATGAGTAATATACACATACAAAAATGTTTATTGTGGCATTGTTTATATGGAAAAATGGAGTACAACCTAAATATCCATCACTTGTATTAAGTAATGATGCATCCATACAGTGAAATATTCTGCAGCCGTTTAAAAGGATAGGGTAAAGCTTTGTGCATCGAAATAGAAAAATATTCATTGTAGTTAGTTAAGTGCTTCTTACTGAATTTGTAATCTTTATAATACTTGTGCATTTGGAGTGCACCATCTAGTAGGTGTTAAGAGTGCTGCTAGGACTTCCCTGGTGGTCCAGTGGTTAAGACTCCGTGCTTCCAATGCAGGGGGCTCGGGTTCGATCCCTGGTCAGGGAACTAAGATCCAACATGTTTAAGTCAGAGGTATATGTGTTACATTCGTAATAGGAAGGTGGGAGTCAAAGCAGTGTGCAGAATGTAGAGAAAAATTATTAAAAGCTTTCATGTTTTAAATCTGTACTCTTTTTTTAAAAAGCCACTAATATATACAATCCAATTACCAATGTTCTTCTTTGCGGGGAAGGGCATCCCAGGTTGGGTTCGAGTCAGCACCTGTGCCAGGGAGGCAGGAGGGAAGCCGGAGTGGGTTGGGGGAGCTGGACTGCTCTGCAGTCTCAGTGGACCAGCTCAGTTAATTCTGCGAAAGTTCTGAGGACTTCCTCAGAGCGGGGGAAGAATGACCTTTCAGAGCGGGGTCTTTGATCACTCTCGTTGATCAGTTGTTGGGTGGGGAGCACCTGGGAAGGGGTGTGGTCTCCCTAAGGCCCTACCGCAGGGCGAGGGCTGAGGGCTGTTCTTCTGTGGCACTCCCAGCAGTTCCTAATGGGGGGGTCTGGGCAGCACAGCAGAGCCCGCCACAGAGGGGGTTTCACTTTTTCTATGTTTAGATTCTTTTTAATGATATGTATTAGAAAAAATAATTTCTTTTAAAAAAGAAAAAGGTTATTAAAAGAAAGACTTGGGGCTCACCTACAGGATTTTGAGGTGATGTATTCCAAGGGAAGAAATGTTTGAAAGCATCTAAGTTCAGTCCCTAAGTGATGGCTTACATTTTCGATTCCAATTAAAATTTGATTTACTCATACCATTAGATTTCTCCTGTATAGAGAATCTTATTTTAGGCAAAATTTCACGATTTCTTCAAAGTCTTAGGCAAAAAAATTATCTTAGAAGATAACAGGTATTTAATGGTAGTATTCAGTAATTTAATAATTTAAAGACAGTGTTTTCTTATCTTAGCATATGTATATGTGTGGACATCGGTGTTGGACCTATTGACAGATTGTTCCAGAGTTGAGCTTCTCTTCCTTGGTGGGTCCTGAAACATTCTTCTTCCCTCAGGCACAACTCCAGAGGTTCCGAGCTCAGTGGATGTTTGAACTTGCCCCAGGTGGAGGCTCGAGCAGTTTAGAATCTCGACCTTGGAGAGCAACGAGAGGCTCTTCACTGAGAGCAGCGGACACCAGAGGAAAGCAGGAGCTGGCAAAAGAAGAAAAGTTAAGTGTTAGGGGCGTTGTACTTGGAAAGATGGTGACAAGTGTGCCAGGGTGTCCATCCCTCACCACTTTTTTTTTTTCTTTCTTTTATTTATTTATTTTGCGGTACGCGGGCCTCTCACTGCTGTGGCCTCTCCCGTTGCAGAGCACAGGCTTCTGGACGCTCATGCTCAGCGGCCACGGCTCACGGGCCCAGCCGCCCCGCGGCACGTGGGATCCTCCCAGACCGGGGCACGAACCCGCGTCCCCTGCATCGGCAGGCGGACCCTCAACCACTGCACCACCAGGGAAGCCCCCCTCACCACTTTTTGTAGGCCTTTGGATGACACATTACTCCTTCTTTCCTGCAGGTATACAGTCTTGCCGGAACTCTTTGGTAATAGACACCCCTGAGATTCACCTGGTCTAAAAGACAGATGCCTCTGAATCTGTTAACAGAAGCCCGAAAGGGGAAAAAACTGGTTCAAATGTTAACACCCTCCCAAAGGTCATAATGCAATATTTTGTTATATTTTGAGTTGAACAGATTTATAGTGATGCAGTAATTACTTCCTTATCCTGGAAAATTTTGAATGCTTTCTAATGGTTCACCTCTTTCCTAGTGCTTGTTCACACAAAGTACACACAACCCACCATTTCAGTTTTCACAACTTTTGTCCCTCCGTGTCCGGGGATGCTCACCTTCCTTGTATGAAACGGTGTAGCATTTGCGTATAACCATGCACATCCTCCAGTATACTTTAAATCATCTCTAGATTACTTGTAATACCTAGTACAATGTAAATGCTCTGTAAATAGTTGTAAGTACAGTGTAAATGCTGAGTAAATAGTTACCAGTGCGCAGCAAATTCAGGTCTTGCTTTTCAGAACTTTGTGGAATTCTTTTCAAGTATTTTTGATCTGCAGTTGGTTGAATCCGAGGATGCAGAGAGAGGGATGTGGAGGGCTGACTGTATCCTGTTACTCCACAGGGGTTGTCATCTTCATACCATCAGACCCAAGTTTTTCTTTACAAAAATTTGCCATTTAATAATCGACATTACCATGATAACTAAAAACTTCCATATTTGTTTTGTTTCATTTTAATTTTGAAATAATCACAGGTTCATAGCACGGGGGAGTCCTGTGCACCCTTCCTGTCCTCCCTTGATGGTGACACCTTCCGTAGCTAGACTTCTAGGAAGTAGACCTTGGTACAGTCCACAGAGCTTATTCGGGTTTCCAAGCACTTCACTGTGTGTATGTGTATAAATAGTTCTCTGCAATTAGCCGTGTAGCTTCATGTAACCATCACCACAATCAAGATACAGAACTGTTTTGTCACCACAGGGCTCCCTCTTGCTACCTTGATAGTTATACGCTCTCTTCCCCACCTCCTCCCCAGCCATTCCTAACCACTGGCAGCCCCTACTCTGGCCTCCATTTCTATAATTTTGATATTCAAAAAGTGTTGTTTAATTCCTTTGAGGTCCGTCCCAGTTGTTGTTTGTGTCAGTAGTTTGTTGCTTTTTACCGCTCAGTTGTGTTGCGTGGTGTTCACGTACCCCACTTTGTTTGACCACTCACCTGTCGAGGGACATTTGGGTTTTTTCCAGTTTGGGGCTATTATTACTAGAACTGCTATGAATATTCACATGCAGGTTTTTGCATGAACATGAGTTTTCATCCCTCTGGCCTAAGAGTGCAATTGCTAAGTTGTATGGTAAGTGCATGTTTGATTAAAAGAAACTGCAAACTGTTTTCCAGAGTGTCTGCACCATTTTCCCTCCAGCAGTGTATGAGTGATCCAGTGTCTTCACATCCCCATCACCATTTAGAGTTGTCATTACTTTTTCGTTTGTTTGTTTGTTTTTTGCGGTCCGTGGGCCTCTCACTGTGTGGCCTCTCCTGTTGCAGAGCACAGGCTCCGGACGCGCAGGCTCAGCGGCCATGGCTCACAGGCCCAGCCGCTCTGCAGCATGTGGGATCTTCCCGGACCAGGGCACAAACCCGTGTCCCCTGCATCGGCAGGCGGACTCTCAACCACTTGCCACCAGGGAAGCCCATGTCATTACTTTTTAATTTTAGCCATTCTGATAGGTGTGTAATGATACCTCCTTGTGATTTTAATTTGTATCTCCCTAATGGCTAATGATGTTGAATATCTTTCCATGTGCTGTTCCCCATCTTCATATGCCCCTCTGTGAAATACCTGTTTGTCTTTTCTGATTGGATTGCTCATGTTTTTACTGTTGGGTTTTAAGAGTTCTTTATGTATTCCAAATACAAGTCCTTTGTTGAATATGTGGCTTGTAAATTCTTTCACTTTGTAGCTTGTCTTTTAATCCTTTTTCTTTTTTTTTGTTTTTTTTTCCGGTACGCGGGCCTCTCACTGTTGTGGCCTCTCCCGTTGCGGAGCACAGGCTCCGGACGCACAGGCTCAGCGGCCATGGCTCACGGGCCCAGCTGCTCCGCAGCATGTGGGATCTTCCCGGACCGGGTCCCCTGCGTCAGCAGGCGGACTCTCAACCACTGCGCCACCAGGGAAGCCCTTTTCATCCTCTTAACAGGGAATTTCACAGAGCAAAAGTTTTAATTTTGATGAAGTTTAATTTATCAGTTTTTCCTTTTATAGATTGTGCTTTTGGTGTCAAGTATAAGAACTCCTCGCCCAAGTCTCCCAGATTTTCTTTCTTTCTTTTTTTTCTAAAAGTTTTTAAAGTTTCACTTTTAAGTCCTTGATCCATTTTCGAGTCACTTTTTATGTAAGCCGTGAAGTTGAGGTTGACATTCATTGTTTTGCCTGTGGATGTCTAACTGTTGCAGCACCATTTGTTGTAAAGGCTATCCTTCTACCACCCACACTCATTTTTAGTACAGATTTTCAGAAATTGTTTTTCACTGTTTATTTTTATAGGCTCGAGAACTCTTCCTGAAAGCAGTAGAAGAAGAACAAAACGGAGCTCTCTATGAAGGTAGAAACTCAGGCCCCAGGATCGTCTTGTCTTGACAGTTTTGAATAAGAACTCTTTGCTATTCACCAATATTTTTTTAAAATAGAATATATTTATACAGAACATCAGTCTCTATATTTGATATTGACTTTAAAAAAATAAAAATTGTATTTTTATATAACCTGTCTCTTTCCAAAAAATATTGCTGAGAAACATCGTATTGGTAGGATTAGTAAAATAACCTTTTTCTACATTTAGGGTTTAGTATTTATTCTTCATTATTAAAGTCTTAAAAATACTGTTGCTTATTGAAAAATAGCAGGATATGCCATTGAAAAAATAGGATATGCTCCTTTTATAGGTGAACGTTATTTCAGAGGAGGAGACTGAAGCATAGATGGAGGAACATGTACATGCTTTCTAAATTCTAATGTACATTTTAGAGAAGGAATACTCGTCGGCCTTAATTGTCTCTTTTATTAGGCCAGTAGAAATGTGTAAGTAAACCAAGTGGTGGGGCTGTTTACCAGATTAGGTTTGTAATTAGGCTTTCATTTCCTGATAGAAAAGCTGTTGATTGGGGCATGGAAAAAATTGCTAGCACTTGAGTGGTTTGAAAATGCCCCCGAAATAACATTTTCAAAATTACTACATTTATTTGCAAGTTTCTTCTAGGGGTTTTTTCACTCTGAGATATGAAAAGGGCCCAAATGGTGATATCCCGCCACAGTCTTTATTAGGCTGTGACATTCCTGTCTCCACGTAGTTTACAGTCCCTCCCCCAGAGCAGCAGAACATGGCAGAGTGGACTGAAGTGAGTGGACTTCATCTGTGGGGAAAGAACTAGTTGGCTTCTGCAGCCCCAAGTTCTGTGGTATGTCTCTGTGGGAGAGGCTGCTCGTGTTCTAGTTCTAAACCACCTGGCCAGCAGATTGATTTAAAAACAGGTTTTATAGGTTACTTAGCTAAATAAGAGGCAACTAGACTAAAGGAAGTTGGATTTGAAGACTAAATTCCAATAAATTCCAAAAAACCCTTCTCCTTATTCTGCTCAGGAGGAAACATTTGATTTTCCTCAACTCTGCATCCTAGGAAGAAGTTTGTTAAAGGTGTTTTTGTTGGGGCTGCAGCAGTGGCATTTTCAAAGCACAGAGAAAGACAGCCGCATATAAGATCATTTCTGACAATATGTGAGAGGCAGAGGGAAAAGATGTAAAATGCAACATCTTAAGTTTCTGTAACATGTGAGCTTTAGAAAAAGATTATTTCTCACTAGTAGGGTTTGGAAATAAGTTTGCTCACTGCTACTGTTGCATGTAGAAAAAGGGAATTTGGCTGTTTATAAAGAAAGTTACCAAATTAAACCACAGTTAGGGTAATCAGAGGAAATGACAAAAATGTGTGGTCATAGCTAATTTAGCTTTATTTTTTCTTTTAGCCATCAAGTTTTATCGTAGGGCTATGCAACTTGTACCTGATATAGAGTTCAAGATTACTTATACCCGGTCTCCAGATGGTGATGGCGTTGGAAACAGCTAGTGCGTACATAATTTGATAGACAGTAATATATAGAGTTTGTTAAAGTTAAGCGTCTTTGCCCTGTTGACTCTTAACATGATAATGATAAGAAGACGGTGCTAATTCTGTTGTTAGATAGTCTTTAATATAAAGACTTGTTTATAAAGTTGTAGAAAGTTTTTAATTAGGGAAATTTTAAGAGTAAAGTATAGAAATGCATATTTTAAACAGGTGTAACAAAAATTAGGTGATGAAAGAGTTTTTTTTTTTTTTTTAATAAAAGCCGTGATTACTGAAAGGAGTAAATTAAAGGACACATTTCAACTTTCTGAAACCTATAAAGTCAAAACTATTAAAACGTGATCAGGGCAAGCCTGAAAAATGTTAATGGTTGAAATTGGGTACATAGTGTTTTATTACACTAGTCTTTCTCCTTTTGTATCCGTTTGAAATAATACATTTTTTAAAAGACTTTTTATTAGGAAAATGCTGGACTCTAACCAGACTTTGTTGTAGATAGAATACTGTTAAGACTGTAACATTTATTTAAAAACACGGGCCGGACATAAGTGCTCCTAAAAGAAACCAAAGAAACCGTGTTTCATCATACAGATGCCATTGGCATCACGGTCATGGAGTAGCATTGACTGTTTATATGGACAGAGACCAAGAGAACATATTTTTAAGCTAATACTTTTGAAGCTGTGTGTAAAACAATTATAAAATTGTATTGGCTTAACCCCTCTCTCTCCCAAAGCTTATATTAGAAGGGAAGGGAGTCTGTCCCCACAAGAGGATGTCAGGTTTAAAATGAGCAGTACATAGAAAAATAGAATTTTGGTGATGAGATATTATATCACTTCTGCCATGAAACAATTAAGAGGTTACCTTTATCGATAACTTAACGCTGATCGCCAGTGCTGTTTAACTGCTTATAGTATTAACACTTAAGCTTTGGCTAAGCCATATTAAAAAAATCCTGATGAAGTCAGCATTTATTGTCTGTCTGGGGCTAACAATATTGTTCCCTAAATTAGATTTAATAATGTGAGGTAGTTCATACTCAAAAGGACTCATTTGGGCTTTTTCTAAACCTTCTTTAAATTTGGGTAGAGTCCTTTAGACCCAGCTCTTAGCCAGTTGTATAAATAGACGCCAAGGGCTGTTAAGAAAGGTTGTATTAAAACATTAAAGAAACATTTCTTTCTCTCCCGTCCTGTTACACAAACCCAGATGCTATGAAAGTTCTTTAAGGGTACAGTTTATTTTCTTATCAGACTTAACAGGCCCTAAAAGCCCCAGCTGTTTTTTTTGCCTTCTGTAAAAAGCTGATAGCATAGCCCTGCAGTCCATCTAGCCTCAGCCGCATGTGCCCTTTGTTGTCTTATAATAAGCCCATCCTGGTTTTCTAACTTTATCCTCATCCAACCTTTTTGTAAGTCTGATCATTTTTAAGGTTACTGTTAGCAAAAACGGAAAGCTATATATTTTTCTAGAACTCTAACTATGTATTTGTTTATACTGATAAATTATTTGTGGACCCTGCTTTTTAAAATTACATATTTTCCTCTCTAAAGGTAGGGTGATAAGGCACATACGTTAGAAAACCCTTGGTAAGTAAGCACCTCAGATAACATTTGTATATTTTATTTTTATCCAGTTACAATGGATTATGGTCACTTGAAAGGATATATTTACATAAGATTTTAAAAAATCATTTGAAAGTATCTTTTTACTAATTCATGAAATCTCTATTTGCCATAAAACTAATTAATTAAATCTCAACACCTGTATCTAAAAATTTTAATTCTTTCTCTGTAGGAATTAAAATTGCTGAAGCTTTTTCTTCAAAAAGTTGGTATGGTACTCCTTTGCAAGGCAGGGTAACCATTTATCATATAAAAAAAAAGTAGTAAGAAGTTTGCTTTTGGATGACTTTTTCTAAAGCAGATTTTGAAAGTACTGTGGAAAATCATTTTCTAAGCTGTGTTGTGTAGACTGTGGCACTGCGTTCACTCACCTCCCTTATTTTCTCAGCATCGAAGATACTGATGATGACAGCAAGATGGCAGACCTCCTGTCCTACTTCCAGCAGCAGCTCACGTTTCAGGAGTCTGTGCTCAAACTGTGTCAGCCCGAACTTGAGAGCAGTCAGACTCACATATCAGGTGTGACTTCATGGTCGTTATAACTCAGTGAGAAATACTTTTCCTTAGATTTACGTTTTCCAAACTTACAAGGTCAGATAGCTTGTCAAGACAGTTGCTCTAGTTCAAAGTATGGTGGGAGATCTAATTGTAATTAATTTGTGCATACTGATAAGCTTTTCAAGATCCGAAGTAGAGTGGAGTTTGTAGCACAGTTGTTAAAGGGTGCCATTCTTGGGCTTCCCTGGTGGCGCAGTGGTTGAGAGTCTGCCTGCCGATACAGGGGACACGGGTTCGTGCCCCAGTCCGGGAAGATCCCACATGCCGCGGAGCGGCTGGGCCCGTGAACCATGGCCACTGAGCCTGCGTGTCCGGAGCCTGTGCTCCGCAACGGGAGAGGCCACAACAGTGAGAGGCCCGCGTACCGCAAAAAAAAAAAAAAAAAAATAGGGGTGCTATTCTTTTTTCAGTGATGCTCTGTGAGGGTGAATGTGCGAGTTGGGGCGGCCCTCAGAAAACTGGAGGAACAATGGCACCATCAGGCACTTCAGCCAAGTTGGACGGTAGTCCTGAGATGGGCTGAATGTTTAAACATTGATGTTTTTTTTTTCTTTTCGTATGTTAAATGTTGTTTACTTAGCTATGGGACTTTCCAGAGGAGGACAATTGAAAATTTCCAAGGATATGGAAATCATTTTTTAATGTTAACAAATGCATACACACGCATACATACTAGACTATTTTTCTAACATACCTATTTTTATGTATCTTGATGATGAAATGATCTTCCAAGGGAAAGGGGTACTTTATAAAAATACCTTCAGATCTGTTCAATACTGAAAAAACAAAGATATTTTGTGTCTTGATGTTAGGAACCATTATTATTTCTGGGTAGTTAAATATACTTGTGCTGTAGCTCTGAGCAGTACTGAAGGTGCGGTTTATAAAATTTAAGGAATACATAAAGATATCTGCACAGAGAACGTGATAGCAGAGTGATGTATAGGAAGGAGAGTCACTGAGAGGATAGTTTCCTTTGCAGCGCTGCCGATGGAGGTCCTGATGTACATCTTCCGATGGGTGGTGTCGAGCGACCTGGACCTCAGATCGTTAGAGCAGTTGTCACAGGTGTGCAGAGGATTCTATATCTGTGCCAGGTACTTACTGTTTTTTTTTAAGCAACTCTGGCAGTGGTGAAAAACATATCAACAAAGTGAAAAGACAACCAATGGACTGGGAAAAAATATTTGCAAACAATATATCTGATAAGAGGTTGATATCCAAAATGTATAAAGAACTCATACAACTCAATTGCAAAAAAACCCAAATCTAATTAAAAAATGGGCAAAGGACCTGAATAGATGTTTTCCCAAAGAAGATATACAAATGGCTAACAGGTACATGAAAAGTTGCTCAACATCATTAGTCATTAGGGAAATGCAAATCAAAACCACAGTGAGATATTAGCTCATGCCTGTTTGAATGGCCATCATCAAAAAGACGAGATAAATGTGGATGTAGAGAAAAGGGAACCCTTTCGCACTGTTGGTGGGGTTATGAATTGGTATAGCTACTATGGAAAACAGTATGGAGGTTCTTCAAAAAATTAAAAATAGATCTACCATATGATCCAGCAGTTCTACTTCTGAATATATATCCAAAGGAAACAAAAACACTAACTCTGAAACATATCTGCACCCCATGTTCATAGAAGCATTATTTACAATAGCCAAGACATGGAAGTGTCCGTGGATGGATGAATGGATAAAGAACATGTGGTATATATAAACAATGGAATATTACTGAGCCATGAAAAATGCAGAAATCCTACCATTTGTGACAACATGGATGGACTCTAAAGGCATTATGTTAGGTGAAATAAGTCAGAGAAAGACAAATGCTGTATGATCTTACATGTGGCATCAGCATAGAAAAGAATAGACTTGTGGTTACCAGAGGTGGGGGAGGGAGGAAGGTGGTCAAAAGGTACAAATAAGTACTAGGGATATAATGTGCAACATGGTGACTATGGTTACCATCGCCATATGATAGAGAGTTGTTAAGAGAGTAGACCCTCGGAGTTCTCATCACAGGAGACCTTTTCTTCTTCTTGTATCTGTATGAGATGATGGATGTTCACTAAACCTATTGTGGCTTATTTCACAATAGATGTAAATCAGACCATTGTGCTGTACACCTTAAATTTTTACAGTGATGTGTGTCAAATATTTTTCAGGAAAGTTGGGAAAAGAGTTATACTTTTAAAATCTGGTTTTGTGAAGAATAATCATAGTTTAGTGTAACTTTATTTAAGACAGGTAATCCTTTATGAATGTCTTATATAAAAATAAATACTTTATCCTTAGCATCTAGAACTTTTTTTATAACTTTATGTAGTCCTTAAAATTCAGATGCATTGTTTTTAAGTAACCTAATTTCATTTGGAGTCTTGTGTTTTGGGTAAAACATTTGAATTACTTTAAAGCCTTTGGGGTTTTTTTTGGTGATTCTGTGTGCATTTCTGTTTAACAAGTACCTATCAAGCACCTAGTGGATTGACCCAGCCTTTTGAAATTGGGGTCTCTAGCACTGTTATTCCATTAACTTTCCTTTTAATTACACATGAGAAAACAAAAAGGGAATTAAGAAAATAAATTTTCAGGGGTAGGATAAAATTTGGTTATAAAAGGATTCGTTAAAAGAAAAAAATTTAAATACGTTGCAATGTAAATTTGGGGGGGTTTATCTCTTTTTGCAGTCTGGCTTCAATATAAGTAATTCCTACATCTTTAAAACAGAATGTTTTCAGTTAAAGATAGAGTTAAAATTATTTTGAGTTGTATTAGAACCATGTCAGTTGCTTCTCTTTTTGCAGTAATCCCATGACAAAGTCTTGTTAGGGTTAGGGTTGGTGCTGTCTTCAAAACTGATCTCCAGTCTGACCGTTTCACTGTTTCTCCGAGTACCATTCTGGCTCAGCCACCGTTAGGCCTGGTCTGGATTATGGCATTGGCATCCTGTGTGGTCTCTGGGCTTCCGCTCTTACATACCGGGAGCACATTCGCCGTAGACCGCCAGTCACCTTTTAAAAGCATCAGTCATGCTCAGAACCCTCCAGTGGCCTCCACTTCACTCAAAGGGCCACTCCCGCCTATAGACCACTACGTCACCTGCCCCTGACCGCCTCTTCACGCACGTAGTCTGCACTTCACCCAGTCACTCTGCTGCAGCCGCATGATCCTTGCTCCTTGTTGAACATGCTGGCCACACTCCAGCCCTTGGGCCTTGCATGCTGTGGCTTCTGCCAGGATATCCTTCCTTGTCACCATAGACACCTGCCCAGAAAAAAATAGTCTCTGTTTCCCCACTACCATCGTCCTGGTCCTTTTACTCTGCTTTGTTTCTTTTCGTCCTGAGCATACTACCTGAAACTTTTCTCTCGTTTTCTTCTCTTTTGTTTGCTTTCCCTGTAAAAGAGCAGGGCCTTTGCCCTGTCCATCAGTCTGTCCCCAGTGCCCAGGACAGTGCCTGGCCGGCACTCAACCAATATTGCCGAATAGAAAATGGCTGATGGCAGGAAAGC